AGGCTTGTTCCTGGGTGGGCGCCTGCAGCACCACGCACCCCTGCCCCTCGCCCACAGCTGGGCACCGCTGCAGCCCCCCAGCGCTTGGGCTCCAACCCTGCCCGGCCGCCCCAGCCCCGCTCCACCGCACAGCCCTCAGGAGAGCAAGGTAGGCACAGAGGAGACCGACACCGTGGATCGCAGAAGAGCTGGGCTTTATTAGTGCATTCAGACGCAAGGGAGGGAGCAGCTTTCTTCCACCTGGGCACCCTCCCTGCACCGGTGGCCAGCAGCTGCTGCCCACAACAGCGGGGCAGCACTAGGCCCAGGTTCAGAGTGCTTCCCTAAGATCCATCCCCACTTGGTCTGGCCACCAGGGCCCTGCACCGTGGGCATCCGTCAGGTTGTAGGGTCCATGGGCTGGCACACTATGTCCGAACAGCTGCACAGGCTCCAGAGCCAGATGCTGCCTTGTGGCATGAGCAATGTGCCAGTGTGAGCACTGGGTGATGTGGTCCCAGGAAGGGCCTGGTGCCAGCCCCAGCCTTGCAGCAGGTCAGAGTCCAGCCAGGTGCGAGCAGCAGCCATGGGCGTTGGCGCACAGAAGGGAGCAGGTGTTGTACAGAGCTAGGGAAGCCTCCTCAGTCCCGGCAGCCCCTGCCTGTCCTACCCCTGGCATCCAGACCAACCCCATTCCAGTTGGGGCCGCGGCGAGCAAGTGGGCGCTGAGCAGCTCATGGCCAGATGGGGCCTTTGCTGGATCCTGGCTGAGTCCATCCCTGTGGCAGGGCACTGATGTGAAGGCTGGCGAGCTGGGAGCCTGGTGGCCTCTCCCCAGGGGAGCAGGGCTCTTGGTTCTGGCGGCAGGTGAAGTCTGTCCTGGAGGCTCCAGTCCTGTGCCCTGGCCAGCACCTACCTGGTGAGGTGAGTCCTTGTCCAGGTGCAGAGCAGCCCTCACCAGGGGCAGGCTTGTGCAGGGCAGGCCCGGTGCCTACCTCCAGCGTGGCTGGTAGAGGAGTGGGTAGAAGATGTTCAAGAAGAAGGCCACGATGGCAGCCATAGTGCCCAGGACAAAGTACCGCACGCAGCCCTCGTCGGCGTGCTCCGGGAGGGTGGCCACCTGTGCCCTGACCCGTGGGTCACGGGCCTGCCAGGGCGCCGCAGGCAGCTCCTCTTGCTCTTCAGCCTCCAGTTCCTGCCAGATCAGAGAAGCCTGCGATGTGGAAACCTGCGTCAGCGCTTGGAGAGTAAACGGGCAGGACCCCTTGCCATCCCCGACCCGCGCCCGCCGGCCCCGGCGCCCCACAGCCGTGCCCGCCCCACGGCTCCTGGCAGCCTGTGGTCCGTGCGGCGACCCCGTGGCAGGCAGGAGATGGGCGGGTGGCACAGGGAGCTCCCGGGCACCAGGCAGGGTCCGTGCGGGTGGTGGAGGAGGGTGCCTGGCAGGCGGGGTCCCGGTCCAGCAGCGCAGCTTCGCCCAGCCCTCCAGGCTTGGCTCCCAGAGGATTACATGGCACAGGCACCAGCCAATCACAGCCCAGCTGCTCCATATGCAGGACCTTCCAGACAGCAGCCAATCGCAGCCCAGGCTTTGCAGGCGGGAACACGAAGCTCACTCATAGGACAGCCAGTCACAGCTCAGCTTCTGCAGGTTGGGGGGGTACGTGGACGACAGCCAATCACAGCCCAGGCTTTGCAAGTGCACAGGAGGATTATTCAGTGCGGCCAATCGCAGCTCAGCTTTCCAAACGCAGGCAGATCAGCGAGAGAACAGCCAATCAGAGCAGTGCACGCCCATGGGCACACGTGACCCTGGGCGCAGCAGGGAGCCTGAGGGCCTGGCAGCCAGAGCCACGCAGCACCCCAATGACGGCCTGTGCCGGCCTGGCATGCCACTCTCCTGGGCCGGGGGCACCAGCTGGCCCTCGGCTCTGTGCTGACCAGACCAGGGGGAGGCAGGAGCATTGCTCCTCAGACTGCAGAGGACTCTTCCAGGAGCCCCAGGTGGGGCCTGGCTCAGGGGCTGGGTGGCTGGCGGTGCCCCAGACCCCTGCGTGCTCCCTCCATGCCTGCCGCTCTGCTCCAGCTGCCTCCAGCTGGGAGCGCCAGTCCCGGGCAGGCATGCAGGGCACTGGGCAAGAGCAGCTAAGACAGACAGATGGACGGAGGAGATCAGCAAGTACTGAGAACGGGACCGGCAGCCTGGTGGGCAGGGGCCGTG